CGATTTTAAGCTTGAATAATCAAATATAGCATCAAATACATCAAACAAACAGCCCTAGGCTCTGATACCACGTATGGGTTATGAGCAATACATCATTCCTATGATGTACATGCAAACCCTAATAGCTTTGGATCTAGTTTGTCTAATGAACATGCAATTGATAATCCAAAGCCATAAACCTTAGATCTAATAAACAATAACTGAAATTTGGGTTTAGATCTTACCTTTAATTGTTATATAGCAATAACAATCAATCATTGGCTTCAGAAAGCTTAGTGCCTCAAGTGCTGCACCTCTAATGGAGTCACAAACACCACTAAGCAACTTGGATGAAGAGGGAGGAGAGAGGAGGCACCAAAAACGACTGGAAACCTTAAAGGAACACTTAGCCACGTTTTTGGGTCTCAAGGGTTCTTTAAATAGGTAGGCAATTAGGGTTATCTAACAAGGAAACCCTAATTTGACTGCTTAAGCCCTAAGCAGCCCATGAACCCCTTCTGGAACATGCCTTGGACGATTTCTAATGGGCTTCCCCATAGAATTCGTCCAACCTATTATTCCAAGGTGATCCATAGCCCAATTGCAGTTATCTTATAATTACAATTCCAATCCCCTAAGTTTAATTAATCTCTTTTAGCCACAAAATTAATTCTTTATTAATTCTTGACTAATCTTAATTAAACAATATGATTTCTCCTTTAATATATTATTCTCATAATATATTAATAAATCATAATTAAACCTTTCTCTCCTTAATTCATCCTACATATTGCTATGGTGAAGGCAACCCAAAAGGACCATGCTCATAATCGGGTCAAGTACATACCAAAATAGTTATGGACTTAGACACTAATCCAACAGTTTCTAGATCTCTAAGCTGGATGGCACCTTCTTCTTCTACTTTTATAACCTTCTTCTTCTTCTACAAGAGTCAAGAACCACTCAAAACTTGAAAAAACACACACTCAAGCTACACACATGAAATTAGGGCTTTACAGAGGATTGGAGGCTGATAAGGGTGGCTAGAAATGAGACCATAATGTTCTTTATATAGGGACCAAAGAAATATTAGGGTTTTGCATCTGAGCCTAGTACGCCTAGCGTACTAGGTGACCTTCGTGATCTGCATGGTGCATGAGTACGCTGCACGTACTCATGCATACACCCTGCGTACTGACTTGCCAATTTATCATATTAAGGGACTGATTTTGACTTAAAAAGGAATAATTCAAGAATGATAATTGTACCTCATTTTGGGATGTTACAATTCTCCCCCCACTAGAATCAGACTTCGCCCTCGAAGTCCTCCTCCGGAAACAACTCAGGATACTGCTCACGCATCTCGGACTCCGGTTCCCATTTCCACTCTGACCCTCTACGTTGCTGCCACTGAACTTTGACCAAGTTCACTACCTTGTTCCTTAAGGTTTTCACTTTACGATCCAAGATGGCCACATGCTTCTCCACATAATTCAGGCAATCATCGACCTGAATGTCCTCTAAGGGAACCACAGCCGCCTTATCGGCTATGCATTTCCTCAGCTGGGATACATGGAAGGTATCATGGATCTGACTGAACTCCTCCGGTAGCTCCAACCAGTAAGCCGCCTTGACCACACGGGCCAACACTCGAAAAGGACCAATGAATCTGGGGCCCAGCTTGCCCCGCTTCCTGAAGCGGATAACACCCTTCCAGGGTGACACCTTCAGGAGTACAAAATCCCCCACCTGAAACTCTAACTCAGAGCGTCTCCGAACCGCATAACTCTTTGGATGACTTTACACAGTCAAAAGCCTTTGTCGAACTTGTTGTATAAGCTCTTTCGTCTTGAGCACGACTTCCGTGCTCCCCATGACCCTTTGCCCCACTTCGCCCCAACAAATAGGAGTTCGGCACCTCCGACCATAAAGGAGCTCGAATGGGGGCATATCGATACTGACATGATGGTTGTTATTATAAGAGAACTCAACCAAAGGAAGATAGGATTCCCAACTCCCACCAAAATCAATAACGCACGCGCGCAACATATCCTTGAGCGTCTGAATCGTCTGCTCGCTCTTCCCATCCGTCTGTGGATGGTACGTGGTCCTAAAATGTAGTCGTGTACCCAAATCCTCATGGAACCTCTTCCAGAATCTGGAAGTAAAACGCACATCCCGGTCAGACACAATAAATGTCGGCACCCCATGTCGAGCCACCACCTCACGAATATAAATCTCGGCCAACTTCTCTGTAGAGAGTTGTCACTTATAGCTAAGAAGTGAGCAGTCTTCGTCAAACGATCCACTATCACCCAAATAATGTCAACACCCCTTGCAGTCCTCAGTAACTTAGTAATCAAATCCATAGTAATCTGTTCCCACTTCTATATGGAACCTCCAGAGGCTGCAACTTGCCATGAGGGCGTTGGTGCTCCGCCTTGACCTTTCGGCAGGTCAAACATCTCTCCACAAACCATGTCACATCTCTCTTCATACATGACCACCAATAATTATGCTTCAGATCAAGATACATCTTTGTGCCCCCGGGTGGATAGAAAACCTCGACTTGTGGGCCTCCTCCATCAAAATCCGTCGGGCGCCACCCGCATATGACACCCATACTCGCCCATGGAGAGTCAAAAGCCCTCTACTGTCCATATCGAATGTCGAAACTTGACTGATCACCCGCTCACTCTTACGGTTTTCTTCTTGTATGGCCTCCGACTGTGCTTTCTTGATGATCTCCAAAATTGGAGTCATCACTGTCATCCTTATACATACATCTCGCATCGGGGTACTCACGGCCCTCCGGCTCAAGGCATCGGCCAACACATTGGCCTTGTCTGGGTGATACAAGATCTCACAATCGTAGCCCTTCACTACATCCAACCACCGGAATGACCCATTCCGGAATATGTTGTTATTTTACGGGAAAAAAATGATTATATTTAAAAAAAAACCCAAAAAAATGGTTAGATTACTCAATTTCCCAATAGTACATTTTAAGTTTTATTACATTTACATTGAGATAATAATAAAAAAAATGGATCAACTTTTACCACATGAGGTCATGAACAAAAAGAAATACAATTAATATTAATATTATACATACAGAATTACATATGTATATATGACGCCGACGGCCAGCAACTATGAGTTTTTCTGTCTAAAGACTTTTACTCGGTGCGGACACACAAATACGACAGACCCCTCTCCGACTCTCTCTCTCTCTCTCTCTCTCTCTCTCTCTCTCTCTCTCAACGATTCAGGTAAGTCCATTTCTTCCTTTTGATCCATCTAATGTCCTTGAGCTTTAACAATGGAGCTCATCGTTGATTTTTGTTTGTTCTGTAATTCTGTGGATTCAGTAAAGAGTGTTAGAATCATGAGGCTAGTCACTGGATTTTCAGTTTACTCTTTGACTTTGAATTGAAATTTGAACTCTAGTTCTGTTTCTTCAAGCTGATACCAGCAAATCCTTTTATATGCTCCTTATTCTCTCCGTTTGTGTCATGATACTGTGTTCGCAACTTTTTTTCCACTTTTTATCTTGTGTATGACCTAGGTTTGAGATTTTACTTGAAATTGAATCCTTTTAAATATGCAATTTCGATGTATAAGTAGAATTTTATTTTTTTCGTATTAATATCCATGTTTCTTACATCCGTATGGAAACTATGTATGTTTGATTTCGATTTCGATCATTTATAATCTCCACTTGAGTGAGCATCTAGATGTTAAAATTCAAGGAAACAATAGGTTTTACTGATGAGTATCACTCGGATTGTTCTGTTCCTACTTTAATGGAACTGCGACATAATGCAGATTGATTTAGATGTCGGGTGGGGGATCTCAAACGAGTTTGAGAAAAGCTCTTGGGGCCATTAAGGACAGCACCACTCTCAATTTGGCTAAAGTCAATAGTGATTATAAGGTAATGAAACATTCTGATTTTTTTTTTTGTTTTGTATGATTGTTACTTTAATATCCCCTGCTTGTTTCAATTCTGTAGGAATTGGATGTAAATATTGTTAAGGCCACTAATCATGTTGAGCACCCTGCAAAAGAGAAACATATGCGAGGTGTGTTTCTATAAAATAATCTGTTTGTGGTCTATTTACAGAAGGGAGACCTGATATTTCTTTCCCTAATCCTGGATCCATTATCACAGCTATATTTGCAGCCATCTCTGCTACAAGACCTAGAGCTGATGTTGCATATTGCATCCATGCTCTTGCAAGAAGATTGTCAAAGACACACAATTGGGCAGTATGTATTGTATCCCTACCCTATCATTGAATCTCTTTAGTTTAACTAACATTTCTCATAGAAAGCTTCATCTTTTTTCAGGTTGCTTTGAAAACTCTAATTATTATTCACCGAGCCTTAAGGGAGGTAGACCCCACATTTCAAGAAGAGCTTCTTAACTATGGCAGGACTAGTAACCATTTGCTCAACTTATCTCACTTCAAAGATGATTCTAGTCCAAATGGTACCTTACCTTATCATGTATATAGAAATGATCAATAAATGTTTAATGAAATTTATGTTGACTTTTTGACCAGCATGGGATTATTCTGCCTGGGTTCGGACTTATGCTTTATTTTTAGAGGAGAGACTGGAGTGTTTCCGTGTCTTAATGTATGATGTTGAAACAGAACGTCTAGTAAGATAATAATTTATCAAGTTATCATTTGATTAAACACCAATTTTTATAAAAGTTAAATAACTCTTGCTTACAAATTTTGGTCCAGAGAACAAGAGATTTAGATACTCCAGAGTTGCTTCAACAATTACCAGCTTTGCAACAACTTCTATACCGTGTGTTAGGTTGTCAGGTATCATCTATACTTGTCTTTTTTGGACCAAATGAAAGTAGGATTCTATGATAAACAAATATTGAAATTATATTTTACTATTTATTGCATTTACCTTTGCAAAAATCGTTTTCTTCTATGCAGCCACAAGGAGCAGCAGTTGATAACTTTGTGATTCGTTTGGCACTTTCTATGGTTAGTAACATAACATCCATCAGGCTGCATTTATTACCTCAATGATGAGGATGAGAAGGGTATTTATGTCTTTTGTACAATGCACACAAACATAGTACAACCTGATCTGTCATGTCATGTCATGATCTTGATCTGACCATGTTTTATTTACTTGATCAGGTGGCTTCTGAAAGTGTGAAAGTATACAAGGCAATTAATGAAGGTTCACTTAATTTGGTTGATAAAGTAAGGTGTTAATTTTGGGTATAAAGTTTCAAATTTCATTTTCTGAATAATTAATCTTGAAAATTGTGGAGTTTATGTGAACAGTTCTTTGAGATGCAAAGACATGATGCTCTTAAAGCTCTGGATATATATAGAAGGGCTGGCCAGCAGGTATATTTAGGGCTAAATCCAAGAAACAACAATGTCCAAGTTTTTTGTAAATTCCTGAAATACCCTTCCTTGTTTCCAGGCAGAGAGATTGTCTGAGTTTTATGAAATATGTAAAAGTCTTGACATGGGACGTGGTGAGACGTTTATTAAGATTGAACAGGTATGATTTACCTTCTTGTATAACAAGTTTTAGATTTTTATATTTTTAATTCCTTTTTTTTTTTATTCATATGATTGTGAAGCCACCATCATCATTCACACAAGCCATGGAAGAATTTGTAAAAGAAGCTCCTCGTGCTTCATCAGTTGACAGAAAACCAAAAGGAATTCTCGCCATAGAACACAAAAAAGAGGCGGAGGTGGAGGCTCCGGCCAAACCGCCAGCAGAACCACTACCGGAGCCGGAGCCTGAACCAGAGGCGGTTAAAGTGGAAGCTCATGTTGCTGAAGCAACACCGGATTTACTGGTAATTTCGTTAATAATTGGGATTAAAGTGGAGTATATTTCATTGTAGATGATTTTTGATTTTTGATTTTTTTTTTTTTTCTGTTTTGTAGGGTCTGAATGATACTCTTCAAGAAGTCTCTGAATTAGACCAGAAGAATGCTATGGCTTTAGCTATTGTTCCAATGTGTAAGTAATTTGATACTAGACCGAATAAACCATCTGAACGAGACTAAATGACCATTTTACCCTCTTACATTCCAAAAAAAAAAACAAATATTCATTACTAATCATATAGTTTTGGCCTTGTATTGCAGCAGCTGATGAACAAGAGTGTAATGCCCCAAGTTCATTTGATGGAAGTGCAGGATGGGAATTAGCCCTTGTAACTAACGAACCCACTAAATCTTCAATCAAACTGGTATGAATATCCATGAATTTATATTTTAGAAGAC